CAGGGAGCATTTTCAAACACTCCCATGTCCTAGAAATACCTAAAGTACAATTGTAGAAGGAGGCAATGCTATCCCAGAAAAACAGCTGGAGATGCCAATTAAAATTTATGCAGCATTTTTACTTCAAAGGCAGCAATAATGAACACCACGAAGAGACTGCACACCCCGAGATTCGAGAACTGGCATTTTCAAAAAGCTAAGGTCCACCTATGCACCCAAATATGTGATCCTTGTCATCAGTACCACCCTCCCCATATTCTTGTGGCATCGCGCAGCACTGCAATCATCTCACTTGTGCTAAAGGGGTGGGGGATTTGATCCGCGCAGCAGTCTCAGTACGCTTTCCATAAATGCTCATTTAAGATACTTACATTCACATCCTCGCAAGCACCAGTAGCTATCGACAGCACTCCGCCGCGCTAGGACAGGCGCCTGGAAGCTTGCACCCTGGGCAGGCTTGCAGAGCCTTGGGCTGCACACAGGAAGCAGTGGTCCGGTGAGGATGGCCCACATACATGGCTGGCTTTTGGGTTCGGGATGTTAGGTCAGGGAGGCCATGAGCCATGGGCTAAACTCCCGAAAAGGGGTTATATAAGGTAACAAATAGGGGATCACTAGAGGGGTTATTAATGGGAATACTAGGAGTTTAGATTACAACTCATACTGTTGAGCTCCGTTGTGGTTTTGCCTAGCACCGAGGACTGGAATGGCAGGCTGGGAGATCGCGATCGGGCGATCTCGGATGCTGAGGAAGCTTGGGAGATTTTCCGCGACCTGGAGTCACCGCAGGCCTCCCATTTCCATTTAGGGGGAAGCTGGGTGGCTTTACAGGCGATATAGGTGTTATATACAGGTGTATATGTGGATGCATAGGGTTCAGGGTTTGGGAACTAGGGTTTGGGGTTTCCCAAAATGATGGCTACCTCTTTGGGGTCTTTTATCACAAAGATTACAGTATTTTGGGGTCCATATTTGGGTCCCCTTATTGTGGGAAACTACCAGATGTTGTAAAAGACCTGTCGTGAGGACGAGGTTTCTGTGGAGACTGCATGGCACGTGGATAGGCAGCACGCACGGAGTGAACTTGAAGATACTGTTTTTCTTATTGTTCCAGATACATATGAGCTATAGTCTAAACTCCTGAAAGGGGGTTATATAGGAGATTTTCTAGGGGACTACTATAGGGGATATTAAGGGGGATTCTAGGATTTTAGACTATAGCTCATATACATGTGCACGACCTGAAGCATAATTATAGCGCGTTCAAATTTGGTGCCTGGGCTGTGGCATCTCCGTCGGCCTGCCTGTGAGGAGCCACGCGCTCTGCGGGCCCTGGTAGAAGGCGCTCGGGGTCTTGAAACAACAGCAGTCTCAGCTTAGTGGCTCCACTAATTATATACAATCCCTACGTGTCCCCCTTTATCGCCACAACGTGACTCCAAAACATCCCTCCTAAACCCTACGGTAAATACTACAGTACTTTCCATTTAATCTTCCATTGAATATTTTGCACTTTGCTCTCCAATTATTTAGAAGTGAGAGTGCGTTGGAATGCATGCCAGCATGTTTCAGTCACAGCCGATGTGTTCTGTGAAACATGTCCACGTACATCCCCATACATCCTCATACAACTAACGCCGCCCCTAAACCCTAAACCCTAGAAAGCCTCTGAAGAAGCCCCTGCGGCAGGCCTTCTCCCACTGGACCCTCGCCGCGCTCGGCGCCTCTGCGTCGAGTGTCTGACCCGCTTTCGTACCTCGAACAGTGCTTCAACAATTTTTTCTCGGTGTTTTAGTAGGGAATGGAGGAGGCAGTGGGACATTGGAAACTGCTGAAACTTTTTTAGGGCTTAGGGCTGCTAAAAGGGAATGGAGGAATGGGTTATACGGGTACAAGAAGGAGCTATGTGGGGACTGCTATGGGGATCCATTCCAGCTATCCGCCAGTAAGCAGGGCATCTCGAGTGCACTTTTGGTACAATTTTCGCGGATTATTGATTTTACGCAGACTCGAGGAATAGGCAGCCAGATCATGGACAGTTGCAAGCTGTGTTAATGGTTTGTCTTGGGTATGGCAGACCATCTTTTTAGGGTATTGATTTTGCACGCAAGCTTAACTACCTCGGTTCTGCAAGTTATCTCAAGGATTATGTAGTCAGTCCCCTTAGATGTACAAGGATGATGCAACCCATTTAGATCCTTATCTTACTTCCCCTTTTTGCCCCTTAGATGTACAAGGACCATGCAACCCCCTTAGATCCCTATCTTACTTCCTCAGCTTTGTTGCTAAGGGGAGAGAGGTCAGCAGTTGGCCGAGATCGAGGCTGTACGTCTCCTTGTAGAGGCGCCCAGCTCCAACGATGGAAGTTGCTAAAGCCCACCATGCATAGGGGATTTGCTTACTTAAATTCATCATATGGGTCCCTTGTAGCGGGGTTCCTGTTGCAATATGGGGTCACTTTCTCAAATCCCCCATTTTGGGAACATTAGTTCAGGCCAAGTCCCATATAATCCCCAAGATAATCTTCCTGGAGTTTCCGAGAAGCCTTCAGATGGAAATTCCTTCCTGTAGAACCGGGGAATGTTTTGCAGCAAGGGACGGGGCTGGGGGCGGGTTCACTCACGGTTGACCGACCCATTTCAAGTTTGGACCCCAGAAAAATGCTCGTATCAAAATGCAAGCTGCGCGTGTCAGGTCTTGCTCAGACTTGGAAATCTGCAGGACGAGTTTTCCTGGCAAATCTGTCCTTTCCATGCTGCAAAGATCCAAGTTGTTTTGATGATTGCAGGAGGCGGCCTCAGTAGCACAAGAATGCATCTCCGTGTGCAAGGACCACTGTGGGTTGTTCTAACTTACTGTCCTTTCCCATGACCTGGTAGCAAGATGGGATACTTATCTTGAACAGCCTCCATGCCTCCATTCGCTGACACGGCTCGAAACTCGGGCGTCAGGAGGCGGGCGCCACCGCGGCACAGGCAGTCCTGAACTCAGAGGGTCAAAGCCGTCAACAGATGCTTCTGATGCCCACATCTCCGAAACTGCAAGGCCATGATGGTTCGATTGGCCCGTGCGCGCTTGCAGGAAGGAGATGTCGAGAAGGCAAGGAGATCCAGGACAGTAGACCAGGAATCATTGCTTTGCTGCCAACTTATCACTGATTGTTTGAGGCCATGGCTATGGCGGAAAATGCATGGCAGTCCTTCGCTCGGGAGACAGCTTGTCGGCGACGATCATCATCATCATCATCATCATCACCATCATCATCATCATGGTGGTGTTGCTCATGATCGTCATGATACAGTGAAACTCATGCACGCTTCTTTGAGGATGTTGGGTGACGTGAAGGCCGCTGAGACTGAGAAGGTGCCCGCCTGGGACAACCCGGAGCAAGGGTGTTGGAGGGACCTGAGGAAGCAGCCTGACGCTTTTGGGACTTGTAGTTGGGAATGCTATACTTAGTTGGATGGAGCACTAATAACCAAGACAGGTATCTCACTAGGGCTGTGCTCTAAAATCCTGTCACAAGTTCGATTTGCTCATACCTCACAGGCTGAGGAACGCACTAGACGATTCCTCCGCAAGCCGATGTAAGACGGCAGTTCGTTTGTTGCTGGCAAGGCAGATGCCATGGAGGTCCTCTGCGACGCGCAAATCCAGTCTGCCGACCTCACGGACTTGGGGCACACCTGGAAATGGCAAAATGTGAATGCAATCCTTAATGCAAAATTACTGATTATTGCATCGTTGCAACTGTTTCGAGGACTATCCTCATTTAGCTACCTTGGCTGCGAGGATGCCCTCGCACGCGCGACGAATTTCCGTGAGCATTTTGCCGTGGCTGGGGATGCCTGCGGCTGAGATAGGGAGCTTGGATTTAGGAGCATTTCTTGAGCTTTATGACTTGCGATCAAATGTCCTTTGGTGGGAAGATGGGTTCGGGATTTGGAGAAGATGCTTTCGTGTTACAATCTAACTTTTTCAGTGTGGGACCGTGTAGATGTTGTTTAGTTCAGAATGCTGCATTTCAGGGTCCGTTTTACATTTTCTAGCAGTACCCGGCATGATAGTGAAATCCTTTTTCTAGGACCTTTCAAGAACTTGAAATTGGTAGAATCGCTTTCCTTCCCATTTGGTACCGCTTGAGTTATTTCTGGCTATTTCTGAAGTGTGTATTTAGCACATGGGGCCGCATTTATACGCCAATCCGTGGACGCGTCCCTGAAGGCACCCCTAGTGTCTGGAAGTCCCCAAAGCCTAAACCCTAAACGCTTAAACCCTAGAACTCTTGAAACCCAAAACCTCTAAACCCTGCACAGTTGAACCTCTAAACCTTAAACCCTAAGCAGTTTCACCCCTAAACCCTGGCGCCCTGAAGTCCCAGTTTCCATTTCATTTT